TTTTCTCTCTTGTGTGGGGGGGGGGGGGGGAAAAAAAAAAAAAACCAGACATTTTGGGTGTTCGTGACTTTTTGCTTTTTTTTTTTTTTTTTTTTACCAGACAGAGGGTGCAAAAACCGGGCTGTCCGGTAGAATACCGGACACCTGGCAACCCTAACAGAAAATAAGCCTAGACCTTCCCTGGAAGGCTTTTGTCCAACCTATTCTTAAAAACCTCCCCTGGTGGGGATGGATCCACAACCTCCCTAGGTAGTTATCCCCTTCAACCAAACAAAGGGGTAAGGCGACAAAGGTACTACATTAAGGAACCACCCCTCAAGTGGCAGTATTAATGAACATGTCAACACAGGACTATATGTTCTCCTGCTCAAAGCCAGGCCACCTGCCAATCCTGCGGCTGTAGTCAGAGCACCTCTCGCCAGAGCAGACTTCAGGCTGAGAGGAAGCTTCTCGTTGGGTGACTGGCCTGTCCGTGAATTAGGTGCCACCTCCTTGAGGTTTGGTTAATTGGCCTGTCAGAGGAAGGGGGAGATCTCTAGGAAAAGCTTCAGAAAACAATCTGCTGGTTGTCCCAGGAAAGAGGGGACGCAGTAGGAAGCCAGCGGAGGGGCTGGCCAGATGTGCTTCGAGAGGGTGTACATTATTAATGGAGAGAGCACTGAAACAATTTACCAAGCGTCACTGTGGATTCTCCATCATAAACAATTCCTAAAGCAGGAGCAGATATTTGTCTGGAAAGTATTATCCTGGGGCAGATCTCTGGCCGAGGCCATAGAGGAGATCAGACCAGATAGTCCCCTTCTTGCCTTGAAACCTATGAAAGAGACAAAGCCAGCTCCAGGAGGCTAAGCAGGGCTGATGGCTAGGAAGCCAGTGGAGGGGATAGCCAGCTCGCTTTCCTGAGGCAGAGCCATGGCCAAAGAAGGCACGAGGGTCTGAAGTCTGACAGTGCAGCAGGGGGAGTTGCCTGCTGGTTCTTGGCACTGGAGAGACATGGCAGGGTGGTGATGGGGATACCAGGGCTCTATCTGATGTAGTCTGGGTTCTGGTTGTAGGACTTGGCACTGGGACTTGTTTTCTTATGGTTTATGTGCCTGGGACATTTATAATGAACCCCACAAGAGCTGTATTTGTACTCAGACTGTTCTGACTGTTCAAGAGGTCTCCTAAGAAAGGAGCCAGCCACAGGCACACTGGCTATGCCTCTGCCAGTCACAGACAGGTGCTCCCGGCATGCCTGCCCAACCACAAAGACCTTGTCTCTGGAACTCAAGTGTCAAGGTGACAAGACTACTTCACAGGGCTTCCAGTTAGAACTGCTCCTGCCTGGTGCTTACAGAACCAACCCTAACAAGCCCGCTCCTTGGGCTGCTTAGAAACTCATCTGGAAGGTGATGCCATTCTGAAAGGCTCTGAAAGGCTTGATTCTGCTGCCCTTGATTTTAATGGAGCAGGATGAAGCCCATCTTTAGGCTTGGAGAGATGTGTGAACCCCGAGGTCTGCTTACTGTCACTCACACACAAACGTTGCAGGAAGCATTGTTTCCTATCTACCTCCCTCCTTAGAATGCATGCATCACCAACAGACACAATTTCAATCCCTAGCCAGTTTCTAAAGCATGGCCAACCCAATTAGTGGTTTACTGTCTACTCTGGTGGTTTTCAAACTTGTTTTTCTCATGACCCAGTTGAAGAAAATTATTGTTGCCCGCAATCCAACATAGTTTGATGAGAGTGAGGGCTCCAGGATGGGGCTGAGCTTTTGGGTGTCAGAGGGGGCTCCAGCTTTAGGGGGTGTCAGGGCTAGGGCAGGAGGGGCTTATCTTGAGCAGCTCCTGGTCAGCGTTGCAGTGGGAATACTGAGGCACTACAGACCATGCTACACTCCAGAAGCAGCCAGCAGCAGGTTCCCAGCCATTGGGAGTGTGGAGCTAGTGCTTGGGGCAGGGGCAGTGCGCAGAGCCCTGTGTGTTCTCTCCCGTCCCCACCTAGGTGTTGGGCCTACTGCTGGCCACTTCTGGGGTGCAGCGCAGTCTGCAGTGCCAGGACAGGCAGGTAGCCTCCTTAGCACCTCCATTGATCAGCTGATCCTCCTGCAGCAACAAGACCCATTGCCTGACATTCCACCACCCAGTACTAGGTTGTGACCGGTAGCTTGAAAACCACTGGTCTATTCTTTGGCCTCCCATCCCTATAGTCATCCCTGGCTTTTAACTTGGCCTGAAGCATGTTATAAACGTGGGGGCTGGAGCATGGTCCAGTGGCTGGAGCATAGTAATAGAGGTCCCTATTCTGTCAGCATTGCTGCTGCCTACTTACTTCATGACCTCAGACAATTCTCTCCCCTTCTCTGCACCTTGGTTTCTCCCACATCAATCAAGTGAATTAATAAAACTTACCTGTGTCACAAAGTGTGGCAAGTCTTGAGCTCCTCAAATGAAAGGCTGGTCAAGTGAAAAGACATTAAAGTAAAATGATCTTACCTGTATTTTCAGGTTTTCCAGAACTCATCCCTTACCTGGACACACAGGCTTGCCAGCCCTTCCATCCTAAATAGGAAGAGTGTTTGGGAATCACAACTCACTTCACTCCCTCCCTTTACCCACCCTGATGGTACAGGTTGTGACCCATCAGAAGTCACACTGCTTAGTCTTCTTCCTGCCCACTCTAGAAATCATTACATCAGCTGGATTTATGGCATCACGCCTTAATGAAGAAGTATTCTTTAATCAAGGATGAAAATCTATGGCTGGCTCAACCGTAGCAGTGAGTAAGCTGGCTCCCCACACAATATGGCATGCCATCACCAGTTTGCACACAACAGCAGGAGCAAAGCTGAGCAGGCTTTCACCCTGTAGCGAGCGTACAACATAAGTATGTGCAAAGCCATTTTAACACGATGCAATCTGCAGAAATACAAAGGAAGACAGTTTTTTGGTTTTGTTTTTTTTTGCTGGACTTGCTACAAAAGCAGATCAAACATCCCATGTGCTTTGTTTTCTTTCTTTCTTTCTGAAAATGGAACGAAATATCTAGAGGATAATTTGAAACATGTTTCTATATGTTTGGGGCGGGGGCATGAGAAGCAGCAATCCTTCTAGCAGGCCATAGAAACGTTTCATTTATTAAAACACTCCATCCCCGTCTACCTCCCTCCACATCTGATGGCTCCTGGAGTGGCTCCAGTCTCTGCTTCAGCAGCATTGCCAGGATCCATTCCACATGCTGAGTATTTTCTAAAGGAAAAAAGCATTTCCTGACATCTGGTCTGAATTCACTGCCTTTCTCTGCCTCCCCTGAACTCCACTTCACTATTGGCCATCCACCACCTGTTCTAGGCTGCCTTTAGCGCCTCGGTTGACGTTTTCATTGTCATCATCATGATCAAGTTAGAGAGGAAGACTGAATTGCACACCCACATGTTCCCCAGGCCCATCTTCCTCCCTCTGCATCTTTCCAGTCTGCCTTTATAGATTATTATCTTGCTCTTAAAGGCCTCAGTCCTTGAGGGTGCTGAGCACACTGACCCCAACCAGCAGAATGCTTAAGCATGTGCTTTACCTTAAAGACAACCAGTCCCAGGGGAATAAGTGTGCTTTAATGCTTTGCTGGACAGGAGCACATTGCAGGATCAGGATCAGCACTTTTTCCTTGCTACTATTTTTGAAACGGGCCAAATTTAGTTTGCTTTTTTTGGTGAATGAACTGATTTATGGAATGAATTTTGTGTAGGACTCTACCAACTTCACAGCCCATTTTGGTCATTTTCATGGTCATGGGATTGTAAAAATCATAGCTGTCATGATTTCCGCTATTTAAAACTAAAATTAGTGTGGCATTGGAGGGGTGAGAGAGAGAGAGAGAGAGAGATTTTGTAAGGTTATTGTAAGGGGAGGTGGGGGTCATGGGTCTGCTACTCTTAATTCTGCAGGGGGCAGTGCTGCCTTCAAAGCTGAGCAGTTGGAGCATGGTGGCTACTGGCTAGGAGACCAGATCTGAAGGCAGAGCACAAGTATATGTGGCAATACCATGATCCCTGCTAAAATAACCTTGTGACACCCTACAATTCCCTTTTGGGTTGGATCCCCAATTTGAGAAACTCTGGTCTCCCTCCTTCCCCTGTGAAGTTGGTATAGAGAGGGGCAGATTTCACAGTCCATGACACGTTTTTCATGGCCATGAGTTTGGTTGTGGCCTCCTCGTGTGCTTTAATAAAGTCAGCAAAGTTACACACAATAGCTTTCAGGAATTATTTAATCCCATCAAAAACTTTCCTAATTCTTTCCACCCCCTTATTCATTTGTACTAGTTGAATAGCTCAGCATTCCTTTTCTTTCCTAAATCATTTCTCCAGGCTGCCTAGATTTTAAGTCTTTAAAAATTCTCTGTGAAAATAAAAAGCAAAAAAAGACAGTAAGATTTAGCTGTCTCTGCCAAAGTAATTTACCCATTATGTCATATGCGTATACTTATGGAGACATGTTATAGGAATCAAGTCAGTGTGGGTTTGAAATTGTTCCTTGGAAAAAAAAGGACAGACAATGACATTTTGAAATGACCTGTATAACTTTCAGCATACCGCCAAAACTATTTTCAGCAGGTCAAGACAGAGACAGTTGCATATTCCAAGCATGTAGTAGATTTTATTAGGCATAACTTTGGTTCTAAGTATTCCACTTTCATTTTTGTATTACCTTTCATTAAAAACAATTATACAAGAGCAAATACAAAAAATATTAAATTATGAAAACACACCTATTAAGGCTCCCTTTTTATATTTATATATATTTATATATGTACACTCAAACAAGGACAGATATTAACAGATGATTAAAGCCAGCTTTAAGAGCTAGAAAGATATTCTACATTTACTACTATACTAACACAAACAGTTTAAAAAAAATTGACTCGCCCTATTACAGGCAGAAAGTGGTAAAAGTGAGCCTCTTTTAATTCAAGAAGATAGCTCAATGAAGACAGAGGATTGCTTACATTTTCATGTAACAGAGGGCCAGAACATAAATCCCTTTCCTTACATTGATAATCAGATACTTACACAAGTAGCCTCTGGTCTCAATGGGATTTCTAGTATGACCTAAGGGCTGCATCATCTAAACCAATGTTGGATCCTGATTTAAAAAAAAACAAACCAGTTTTGCCTGCCAAATCCTTATGAGATTGACATTTGGGTTCCTTGACAAAGTACAGCAGAATTTCTAAGATTTTTTTTTAAAGTCATTCTACTGATAATGAAGAATTTTTTTAAATGACTCGATGTTGTACATAGAAATAATAGTCAGATCATCCCTCTACATTTAACCACACTGGTTTCACCACGACAAATGGGAAGTGGAAAATATCCATCCTGTAGTCCCAAGAGAGCCTGACCCAAAGTCCACTGTGATCAATGGGAAGCCTTCTCCACTGACTTCAGCATGCTTTGGATTAGGCCCTGTTTTTTCTTATGTCTGCGTTAGAGTAGCAGGGTGGCCACGTACGTTGAGGTGAAATGGCAGAAGCTGAGCCGCTTCTGAAGAAATGTACTGGTCAGGCAAGATGAGACTGTCTCTTCAGGCTTTCTGTGGAACTGGAATCCAGCAGACCTAAAGGAGATCACCAGGCAGAGAGTGGGACAGAAAGATCAACAGCAGTGGCTAAGCATCAAGGTACAATTTCTGAAGGACGATTTTCCACTGCCCTTGTGCTGGGGGGTGCAGCATAGAAAATTGGAGCATGGGGATGTCTGAACAGAAGACAAGAGGCAAATCCAGTCAGAAAGTGTTTGAATGACTGGCTGCTAGAAAGGAAGACCTTCTTGGAAAACAAGACAGCCGGGAAAAAACTGCTTTAGTTACACTTATGTTTCCTCAGAATACAATATGGTAGAATTTACAAAATGTGGTGCCCTCCATTTTCCATGACCACAGACTGAACAGATCTGAAAATCACTTGTAACCTTTAATCTCCTCCACATGAACGGCACTGGCAATCTAAATTAATGATAATGACGCTTCTCAAAACTTAATTTACTTCTCATCTAATTGTGTCTTAAAAAAAAAAAAGAGCTTGACCCTGACACCTTGAAGAAACACTGCTAATTGTGAACGCTATGTCCCAGGTCCAATACTGGAATTGTATTTACATTTCCAGTACCCAGGGAAAAACAAGAGAGAAAAATAGTATCTTGCAGATACACACACATACAATGCTGATGCAAAGAGAAAAGATTCTCAAGCAATTAGCACAGCTGTAATTACAAAGGAACACTTATTTCTGTTTAGCACTCTAGAACAAAGACGACAGGCAGGTGTGGATATGCACCACTCCCAGGAAGGAGATGCACATGTACCCCATCAGAGGCACTGGGATTCCATGAACAGTCTCCTCCCTAACTCCAGGGTTTCCTGACAGGGGAAAAGCAGTAGTCATAAGCACTGGGGGCCAAATTCTGTCACCCTGACCAAGTACCATTTTACTCGGCGGCACGTAAATGAGACTACAGTAAGGGATAAAATATGGCCCTACAACGGAGTAAGAACTTGGTTCCCTTAACCCATCTTTCCTCTTGTCTCAGGAAACACATTAGAGCTTATCTAACAGTGGGAAAAGTTTCTCATTTCAACAGCCTTGGAGGGGAGTTTGAGATTTAAATGAGACCATTCTGTAGCTGATCTGTGCACAGAATTCCCATTGTCTTCAAGCTGCTCTGAGCAAAGACAGAATCAGGCCCTTATTTCAAATGCCTGTAGTCAATACTCTGAGTTTAATGCTACTGATCTGTTAACACTAAGTTGAGATCTGTAGGTCCCAGAGGAGAAAGACTATGCCAGCAGACCAAACAGTCCTTAAGGAATCAAAACTAGAGGGTGGGTCTTTTCCCAGCAGGAGTTATCAGCGAAAGATACACCAGTGGAGCTACATGGTCTTGTACAGTGCAATTGCTCTACTGGAGTGGGAGTTGGGAGAAAGGAAGCATTCAAGGAGAGAGGAGAAATCAGTCTCTGATTTTTGCCCAGGTGAGAAAATATTACTATTTTTGCACTCTGAAGAGCCAAATTCTATGTACACCACAGAATTTAGTCACAGAAAACTTTTTTTTAGCTGTTCACAGTGCCCCTGAATTTCAAACATTCCTATTTCTCTGCAAAATATTTCCTAGTGGTAACAGCCTATGAAATGGCCAGCAAGGACCAGCTCATGCCACTTTCACTCTACATTTAACCCTTATCAAAATTAAGTGCAGGAAACCACATTTTCAAAACAGAGTTTATACAGACTGAAGGGACAGAAAATGAGAATGACCCTGCACAGCATCGTTCCATAAAATATGACCAGAGATTTTTTTTTTTAAAGCAAAATATAAGCCTGATGTCTCCACTCAACTGGGATCAGAAGAACCCAAGCAGTGCAACACTCAAGGAGTTTCTCTTGTGTCCCTGGTTTAAGTCTCTTAGTAAGCACTTCAGACATGTCCATAATCCTGAACTGAAAACAGGCTGTGTATCCACTGGTTTCAGTATTGTGTTTGGTGCATATGATCTGTTTATGTTGCAGACTTCTAATCCACACAGGTTCCAGGAATTCAAAACCCATCTTCAGTAAACATCCCTGGATGTCGTGTATCTTCCCTTTCCAGGGCAAATGGGTGAGACAACTTTCAGAAGCCTTTCTCTGCAGCTGGAATGGAATGTTGAAAGTCTTAGCATGTACTTCCTCTAGGAGTCTGGTGCTTCTGCCGATTCTTGGGCTGTCCTCCTTAAGTTGCCTTTGACTTTCACAAATTCAGGTGCATTCTCCTGCTCCTCCTGGAGCTTTTGTTTTTCGAGTTCCAGCTGAAATGAGAATCGGGTTTAAAAAAATGTAAAGCTTTGATTTCATAGGAAGGAGACGTAGACTCAAAAAAACCTCAAAAGCAGCAGAACATACTTTAATAAAAACAGATGAAGTGGCTTTTAGAGAGGAGTATTACATTTTTTATTTTACTCCAATCTCCTCTTAACTCACCTCTCCTGGAAGATCCACTTGGCTTAGAAATAGCTGTAACACACGGGGTAAACCACAATTATGTGATGGGACAATGAGAGTAAGTCTTGGAGATATCCATGAGAATTTCCTTGCAATTTAAACATAAATAAAGCCCTCTCTTCTGCCTTCCAGCACAGGAGGGGAACAATCGTTCCCACTGAGGCCTGGTCTATATTAGACCAGGCAGGTCAGCTTAACGTACAAAACTCTAGCAACGCAAAATGTGTAGCTAGAGTTGGTTTACCTTAAGCTGAGCCATGGTGGCATCCACACAGTGGGAGGAGTACCAGACGCCGGTGAAGGCTGCCCTCGGCGTTCGATTTAGTGGGTCTATACTAGACCCACTACATCAAATGTTAGAAGATCGACCTCCAGAGCGTCTTCTCATAGGTAGAGACATGCCCTGAGAGCACAGGAGAGCAGGGTTAACATGCATGCTTCCGGGATCTCAATATGGATTTAGGTGTGTAACTGGAGACATCTCCAATTGCTTTGCCTGTCTTGAGCAGAAGAGGAGTAAAACATCAGTTCCTCCAACCCATCTGTTGCAGACATTTTCAGTGCCCAATTAACATTTTAAAATCACCTGGCATGCCTGCCCATACATGGCCGCCATCAAAAAAGCATTAGGACATGTAGTTTCTTACTGTGCATCTAGAGGTGTAGTAATATACTACAAGTAAAGAATGCTGTGTATTAACTGCTTTGAATAACAATGATCCTGCCAGTCCTGATAGCAGATCTATGAGCCAATAGGCAAGAGGAAGCAACTCTCTGGAAAGTGAACAGTAAACACAAGTCTGAGAGGAACTGTTCATTTGAATATATCAGGGTCTTCCTAATGATTAACAGGGATCACATACCACTCAAACCCAGCTCTCTGCCTTCTCGCTCTGTGACAGGGGACATAGCTTATTATAAAAAAGAATGGCTATGAATTCCACAGTGAATCATTTTGTCAATTGATGTCACTCCTACCATACCTGCAGAGTTGCAACACTGTTTGCTATGGGGCAGGTTTTTCCTGTCACAACAGGATTTATTTTTCCAGATTTGAACTTGGGCCAATCAAGGATAGGGAGCTTGCAAGTGGTGATGTACTTTGAGACTTGACTCTTCGTTAGGGCAAAGATTTAAAAACAAAAACAGAATCTGTCGCTCCTCAAGAATTCTTAACTTCTAAACATTTTTGTGTCTTGGGATGTAATTAATTAATATTTAATTAGACTAGCTGGATTAATTGTCTCATAATTAGGATTAATGTTTGACTTTTTTATTTAAATTGTTTTTTTAAAATAAAAAAATACTGTACTGCTTTTGATTGAGTCATTTCATTTTTTCAAGAGCATTTTGGTGTGTCTGGACTTGTTTTGATATAAGCAAAGAACAAAGCTCCTTCATAAACACACCGATGCCCTCTGCAAGTCACAATCTCGGCAGTCAGGGTTTTTTTTTTTTTTTAAAAAGGCTTGGCAATAAACTCAGATTTTTAAAACCAGAGGATTATGATAATCTACTTTGGTTTTCTGCAGAACACAGACCAAAGAATCTCTCCCAATAATTTCTGCATCAAGGCCATAACTTTGGTTTCAGCTAAAGAATTTATTTTAGAAAGACATCCAAACTTGGATTTAAAAACTGCACTTAATGAATAATCCATGACAACCTTAGGTAAATTGTTCCAGTGATTAATTACCCTCACTGTTAAAAACTGGCACCTCATTGCTAGTCTGAATTTGTCTAGCTTCTGCATCCAACTTCAGGATCTCATTATTACATTTTTCGCTAGTTTAAAGAGCTATCTATTATCAGAAATCTCTTCCTCATATAGGTATTTGTAAACCATGATTAAATCACCATCAGCCTTCTGTTTAAAAAACTAAATAGACTGAGAGCAGCTCACTTTAAGGCATATTTACCTGACTTTGCATAATTCTTGTAGCTATTATAGGAATCTTTCTAGTTTTTCAACATCCCATTTTGAAGATTCGGCACCAGAACTGGACATAGGATTCCAGTAATGGTCATTTTACTACTTATACAGAGGCAGTACTACCCATCTGCTCCCACTTGAGAGAAACAGCCCTCCATCTTATAAATGTGACCTACATTCTTTGTTCCTAGATGTGTGACCTGTATTCAGCTATGTTAAAAGATAACGTACAATAATGCTGTGTACCTTTGAAAAAAAGTTCTTCAAGGGAGGGATAGGAAGGATGGTCTAGTGGACAGAGGATTAGCCTGAGAATCAGGAATCTAGGTCCAAATGCAGGCTTGGTCAGGTACTTCCCTAAGCAAGTTGCTTAGACTGGATGCACACTTAAAAGTTTTGCTGGCATAGCTATATTGTTTAGGGGGGGTGATTTTTTCCGGTGTAGCTATCGGCACATCTACACACAGCAGGACTAACACTGAAACAAGCTATACAACTTGAGTTATGTCAATTGCATGGCTTAAGTCAAAATAGCTTCTTTTGGCTTTTAGCACTGTCTACACAGCAGGAAGTCTGAGAAAGCGCACTCTTCCTCCAATTTCCCTTACTCCTTGTACAATGAGGGTTAACAGGAGTCTGAGTAAGAAGTCCTCCAGCTCAACATTATTTCGACATTGTCAAAATAACTGCTTGTGGTGTAGATGCAGACTGAGTTATTTCAGAACAACATCAGTTATTCCTAAATAACACTGATGTGTAGACATAGCCCAAGCCAGCAAAACCTCTCGTGGAGATGAAGGTGCAGGGCATAAAGGTGCTTATGCTTGTGTAGCCTACTTGTTGCACTGGTACATGATACACCAACAAAATCACTTCTGTGCTGGTACAGCTGTGTCTATACAACATACTGCAGCTTTGACTCTTCCTATGGTGAGTAAGGCCTTAATCTAGCTGGCGTTTCAGTTCCCTATCTGTAAAATGAGGATAATACTTCCCCACCTCCCAGGTAGCTGCAAGGATAAAATCTACTAAGGGTTGTTTACGTGCACAGATACAACACAAATACTTACAAAGACAGAAGGTTCCTTTAGCCACTTCATCAACCTCAGCCTAGTCTAATTTCTAGCCCAGAGATTTTCTCCACCTTTTCTTAACACCATTTCCCTTCTCACCTGCTCCAGCTTCTGCTGTCGTTTCATTAATTCGATTTCCAGGTCCGATTTTTTCTTTTGTGCTTCCTCTTCCTTTTGTTGTTTAATAACTTGATCTCGTTTTCTTTTCTCCATCACCTTTTGCAGCTCTGGTTTATTCTGAGGTGCAAGACCTCTGGGGGGGGGGGGGGGGGGAGAGAAAGAGAGAAAAGAGCTTTTAATAAATTGCATATTCACACAGAAATGTACGCACATCTCCCTTTAGTTAGCCAATAACTACCATTTTCCAGGATAAATATTTCTGTGTTTATACGCAATAGTATTAAAAAGAGATGAGGACTAACCAAAATAATTTCAGGCCCCATTAGTTCTAGAAGCATTTCTTTTTAATGTATATATATTAGTTTTCCTCCTGGCTAACTCACACTCTCAAGTTCTTAGCTGTAGCCTTCTCCCTATTCCAGAGGAAATGAAGTACCAATGATCACAGGTCAAGTCAGTGGCACAGCTAGGAACAGAACTAGGGAGCCCTGTCTCCTAGCTCCCTATTTTAACCAACAGACCACATAGATTTTACTCAGTCAGGTCTGCACATGACAGTCTATGCAGAGACATTTGTGACAGTGGAACAGTTTTTCCCCACCTGGACTTTTGCCATATTACTCATAAGAATTGTGGCTTCTGCTATTTTCTCAACTTTTGGGAATTTTACATGTGGGTGGCTGCAATAGTCAACCATTTTAACTGAGAACACAGAGTTGTCAAGTGAAACCCAAAGCTCTATGGGAAGTTAAGAGACAGTAGACTTCTACAGCAGCATTTGGATTGTCCTAGAGAACAGACTGGCCAATTCCCAGCAAGAAGCTTCAGTTCTTCCTGGAAACAATACTGGGATTTGACTGCTTAAAACTTGCCACAGGATTTTGGTGTTTACTCCCTTCCTCCCAATCCCAGGAAAGAATTAAAAATGTAGCAGTTGTTTTCTTGTTTTCACTTCCCACCCCCAGTAGTAAAACTTTACACCAAAAGAATACTTCACGTCAGCATAAACTAATGAGGTTCTAAAATTAAATACTGCTGCTATTCAAAACGACAAATCATAGCAGTGTGGATCCTGTGGGCAGCACAGTTCTTCCGTGTAATAGGATATTCCTCCTCTACATAAGAAAAGAAAAACTCCAGACTACATTAAGGTGCTTTATGCTTTTATAAACCTTAAAGAGAAAAAGAAGATTTAATTCAGAGCAGCCTAAATATGCTTTGTGGATTAAGAGCATAAGAAAGGAAACCCCAAATGTCTCTGAATGTCTTGGTGCTAGCAGTTGAATCTTTGATGTTTAATCCCATTAACAAAAACCAGGATGCATGCACACCTAACGGCCAACCTTCTCTGATCCATTTGGACTCTGTGTAATGTGCCCATTTCATTGTCAGTGGAGAACTATTATACTGAGCATAGGATTCATTTAGATTTAAATAGCTGACCTCTGGCTTTTGGGAAAATTTCAACATTAAATATGCAAAAGGTTTCTCTCTCAAAATCCTATTACACCAAAGGCAAAAGGAAGAATATTAAGAACTAAGCAGGAAGATTAAAATTTGGACATGTAGGCAGTTTGGTTGTCCTAATGCAATGACACTCCCCGCTCCCATCTCTCCCACATGGAAATGTCTGTCAGTCTAATAAAGACTGATTGGCTGTTTATGGTATTTTAATTAACACCAGTTAAGTCTGGGCTATCGTGTCTCCCTTCAGTCTCCTTTGTCACCCGCCCATCTCTTATCTCAGGAATAGCCACAACTCAGACTTCGTCCAACAGCTATTCTTTGTGATTGCAGACATTTTGCAGGGTCAGAGACTACTTTGTGCTTATGGTGATGAATGCCATAAACACTGATTGTAATAGAAATGTAGCCGTGTTAGTCTGGTGTAGCTGAAACAAAATACAGGACTATGTAGCACTTTAAAGACTAACAAGATGGTTTATTAGATGATGAGCTTTCGTGGGCCAGACCCACTTCCTCAGATCAAATAATGGAAGAAAATAGTCACATATAGTATATATGGTTGAGACTATTTTCTTCCACTGTTTGATCTGAGGAAGTGGGTCTGGCCCACGAAAGCTCATCATCTAATAAACCATCTTGTTAGTCTTTAAAGTGCTACATAGTCCTGTATTTTGCTTCATAAACATTGTAGTTACTCAATTTGACCAGACATATCGAGGAAGGAAGAAGGGCAACAAAATCTGTAATGCTTCTTGTTGAGAGTGGGCTCTGTTACTGTGTCATCCTGCCTCTTTAAAGAAATGGGCAAAGTTAAATGTTTTTAAGCAAGGGATGCAGTGTGAAGCGTCTCTCCCCCACCCATCCCTTGTCATGTGACTTTGCTGTGGAAGGAGGAGGATTCCAAATATCACACTAATTAAATCTCAAGATTCTGCTGTTTTGCTTAATTGCCATACAAAGCGTATATAATAGTTCTGCTGAGCTATGCTTTCCATGAAAAGGCCAGCCTGTAAAATATGCATATCTGTTAGAAGGGCCATCAAATATAACCCCTTTTAAAAGCTGGTCTACTTAGACAAGCTCATGGAGACACTGTGAAACTAAAACGGTGTTTATAAAATGCACTGTGATCTGATAGAAGGCACTGGACAAAATGCAAAATTATTAAAATAATATTTAAATGAATAGGACTGTTCCACTGAAAAACCCTTAAATACTGTGTTCTAACATGGCTAAGGACAACGTTCATTTTCAGCTTTGTTCCACTACTCCTAAAAACTGAACATTTCAAAAATTTAAAAAAATTGTCATTACATCATATTAATTTTATTATATTAATTGATTATATTAATTGATATAGAGGGAATATATGTAACATTTATAAATTGATAAATTACAATTATTTAACATGTACGTGTGTATACTCTCACACACTTAAAATCATATGCCAAAACATATGTCTTCTGCACAGCAGTCCTATAATCTAAAATAATCTACCTGAACCTATTACAGATCTTCTGGAGTTTACATATCCATGAATTGCACTGGCATAAAGAGAAGAATGAAGAACAAACTATCAGACCAAAACACTATCTGTCTGTAACCATATCAATTTACCTGAGCATGGAGTATATACACAACTATGACGTACTTGGGCACAATCCAGACTATTGAGTAGCTGTGTCAGCCCTGGCCTGTAGCCGCCAAACCGCACTGCTCACAAAAAGCCTCCTTGCATGTAAGTCGCTCCCAGCTATGGCTACGTGTGCTGCAGCCAACCAGCCACATCTTGGCTCTTACCAGCCTTGGTTATGCTACAGAGTGACTGCAACACAGCCGCCTCCTGACCCCATCCCAGATCTGCTCCCGGTAATTTAGGTCCTGTACTTTCCAGCCCTTTCCTGGACAGTACAAATATAACAAACCTATTATTCCTTTAATGGATTAATGTGCCAGTTGATTATTTAAAATAGAGTGCCCAGACACGCAACATAAACATATTAGATTAGATAAAAACAGTAAAGCATGTCTCTTAACTACAAAGAGATATATTTTGAGTGTAAACCAGGGATGTGAATGTGCAATCCACTACATGATTAACTGATCAGATTAACTGATAAATCAAGTCTTATTGACTACATGCACTACCCCACCCTTGCTGCCTCTGATACAGAGGCAGCAAGATGCGGGGAGCAGGAACCAATGCCCGTGAGGAGCTGGCTTTAAGCAGGCTCCCCATGAACACCGGATCTGCCTGCCACCCCCTACCCCGATGATGCTGCCTCTGATAGGGCAGGCTGGAGCCAATATGTGCGGGGAATCAGCTTTTGGCTCGCTACTCGCCGCATGTGCTGGCTCCGTGCACCTGCCTCCCCCCGCTCCTTGCTGCCTCCTACAGAGGCAGTGAGGCGGGGCAAGCAGAAGCCAGTGTTGGGGGGAACCGGTTTTGGCACCAGCTCCACAATGCTGCCTGTCCCCTCCCCCCTGCACTGCTGCTTCTGATAGAAGGGGGCAGGAGAGGCTGCTGCATGGGGACGGGTGAGGCACATGGGGATGGGGGAGGTTGCCACAAAGCAGCATCTGTCCACAGTGGCCCAGGCAAATAGCTGGTTTGTGTGGGGAGCTGTATCAGAGGCAGCTGCACGGGGGAGTGGGGCTGAGAGAGCACTGGCTGCTGGGTCCCACCCCGGGGACTATTGACTAGTCATGTAACTGATCAGACTTCACGCGGTTACACGACTATTCAATTACACAATATCTAGTATCCCTAGTGCAAGCAACGAGGCCTAACAGCCAGAAATGGTTACAAGAAAACTAGAGATAAAATGCTTACTGGTGCCCAATTTAACTATATTACATTCAAAGCAAAGTTCTCTCACCGTACACTTTCAGCAGTCAGGCCTCTTCCCCCTAGAGTCCAACAGTTGCTTTCCTTGTGTTTTCAGGTGCAGAGAATGGGCAGGAAGAGTGAGGGAGGTGTTCTGGGGCATTTGCCCGTATTTATAATTTCAGTCCCCTTTTGAAAAACCACTTCCAGCAGGGAGCAAGATGTGAGAAAAAAAAAACTTCCACATGGTTTGTAAGATCTTGATTAATTTAATTTAATTTAATTGTCCCTGCCCCCTTTCTTGCCAAAGAACAGCCACTTAGCAGATAATGGCACATTGGACTTGTTGAATGTGGCTGAAGTATCAGCTCACCTCTGGTCTCTTAGGAATAGGTCTGGCCATCCTCAGACTTATCTGGAAAACATGCTTTTAGTCATGATTTCAACTTATTTTTCTAACTTCACATCTAAGATCTAACACTCCTACGTGCATTTTGCCATGATGTTACTGATCAGCAAATTATAGTAAATGATACCTAACAATGCATACCTTGTACAGACATTATTTCCACAGTATGCAGTTTGTGGAAATGGTGGAGATATATTCGGTCACAATTATTAAGATAAGGCCATATCAAATTCAGGGTCCATTTTCGTCATTTTCATGTTTACAGGATTTGAAAAATCGTGAGTTTCATGATTTCACATCTTTAAATCTGAAATTTCACTGTCTTGTAATTAGAGGGGTCCTGACCCAAAAAAGGCATTTTGGTGGAGTCTCAAAGGTTTTGAAGGGGGGTTGCAGTATTGCTACCTTAACTTCTGAGCTGCTGCTAGCGGCAGCGCTGCCTTAAGAGCTGGGCAGCTGGAGAGCAATGCAGAGGCAAGGATGACATGCCACACCCCTCCACTCCTGCAACCTCCTATTGGGCTAGGATCTCGTTTGTGCCTCTCTGCTGATTCTCCCCCATGAAATCTATATACTATAGGGTAAACGCAAACAAAAAGACTAGATTACATGGCAAGGGACCAGATTTCACTGTCTGTGAAGTGTTTTTCATGGCTGTGAATTCAGTAGGGCCTTAACTGTAAAACACTCCTTTTTAAACATCTCCAGGAGTGGGGTCTAAGTCTACAAACCTTTACTCATGCAAGTATTTCTTATTGACCCAAGTAGGATTGCACGAGTATAGCTTGTAAGAGGAGGCCAATCGTTAATTATGCATAGTAACGATCTTTCACCTTCTTGTACATACTTACTCTTGGGGGGATTCTGTGCCACTGTGCATGTGCAGAATTCATCTCCACAGATTTCTTTGCTTCCCCACAACAAAGTTAAAATGACTTCTGATACGGAATTAAAGGGACGCCACAAATATGGTCATGTATCCTTCTCCAGAAATGCAGGGGCATTGTGTTAGTCGCTCAGAGCAGATGGAGGAGAGGTAGGGTCATCTCCCCACTCCGTGCAGCCAGTGGCTCGTGCGCCGCACTGCAATGCTGGAACCTCCACATTTATTTAGAGATAATACGCAGAATTTTTAAATATTGTGCACACAATTTTTAATTTTTTGGCAGGGAATTCCCTCAGAACTAATACACTGAAACTTTCACAACGCTCCTGCAAATTATTAGGGAAGCATAATTTCCAATTAACAGGTGTGAAAATAAGGTTCCATAGCTTGCCCAAGGCTGCAGACTAATGTCCTTGTTAAGTATGTACCAGTTGACAGGTCTCATGGCAGAGCTCAGACCATGGCTTTTATCAATACATTAATGACAATAAAGGGAGTCAAGTTGAAAATACCAGTTACTCTGACAGCATGAAGTAAAAAGCACAAGAGGGTACTGAACATCTCTCAGCAAAGTATTGGCAAAGGGATATCATCTCACATCAGCCAAATCTTTAATACTGTTTAAACTGACAGTTCTTTCAAGTAATCTGACTCACTTTATATTCTGGGTGTGTGGATTATTTTTTATGTTATTATTCCCCTCCATTGTTGACTAATTTAAAACAAAAACCCAGATAACTTTGGGCTGAGTCCAGGTGCCAACAGAAACAGGATCTGAGGCCTTAGCTCTTAAACAGAACATAAACAAAGCAGCATGCTATGTATCATTTGACAGCATGAAGGAAGCAACATTTACATAATGTATAGTAATGGAGACGCATCAGGAAATCCAAATACATACCTAACTTGGTTGTAAGAAAGACTATATAACCGACAAGAAAACTTAAAAAACGAGTGAGACTCGTTTAGAGACTACCAAAAAATATAGATAGTATCACGAGCTTCATCTCCACAGATTTCTTTGCTTCCCCACAACAAAGTTAAAATGACTTCTGATACGGAATTAAAGGGACGCCACAAATATGGTCATGTATCCTTCTCCAGAAATGCAGGGGCATTGTGTTAGTCGCTCAGAGCAGATGGAGGAGAGGTAGGGTCATCTCCCCACTCCGTGCAGCCAGTGGCTCGTGCGCCGCACTGCAATGCTGGAACCTCCACATTTATTTAGAGATAATACGCAGAATTTTTAAATATTGTGCACACAATTTTTAATTTTTTGGCAGGGAATTCCCTCAGAACTAATACACTGAAACTTTCACAACGCTCCTGCAAATTATTAGGGAAGCATAATTTCCAATTAACAGGTGTGAAAATAAGGTTCCATAGCTTGCCCAAGGCTGCAGACTAATGTCCTTGTTAAGTATGTACCAGTTGACAGGTCTCATGGCAGAGCTCAGACCATGGCTTTTATCAATACATTAATGACAATAAAGGGAGTCAAGTTGAAAATACCAGTTACTCTGACAGCATGAAGTAAAAAGCACAAGAGGGTACTGAACATCTCTCAGCAAAGTATTGGCAAAGGGATATCATCTCACATCAGCCAAATCTTTAATACTGTTTAAACTGACAGTTCTTTCAAGTAATCTGACTCACTTTATATTCTGGGTGTGTGGATTATTTTTTATGTTATTATTCCCCTCCATTGTTGACTAATTTAAAACAAAAACCCAGATAACTTTGGGCTGAGTCCAGGTGCCAACAGAAACAGGATCTGAGGCCTTAGCTCTTAAACAGAACATAAACAAAGCAGCATGCTATGTATCATTTGACAGCATGAAGGAAGCAACATTTACATAATGTATAGTAATGGAGACGCATCAGGAAATCCAAATACATACCTAACTTGGTTGTAAGAAAGACTATATAACCGACAAGAAAACTTAAAAAACGAGTGAGACTCGTTTAGAGACTACCAAAAAATATAGATAGTATCACGAGCTTTCGTGGGCACAGCTCACTTCTTCAGATGAGTGGAGCAAGAGGCATAGACACAAATAGAACCCACAAAATTTAAAGCAGAAAAGAGGGAAATCTCGGCAATAGTAAATGTGGCCTAAAGGTGTCTCTATAATAAGGAGTCCAAGTTGGGGGTAAGGGAGGGGGGGAGAGAGGAGGAAATAGCATTAACATTTTTCTAACCCTGCCCACAACTCAAACTCTGCCTACTTGTGTAGCCAAATGAAATGCCATTTAGAGCAGATTTTGCAGTGCTTCATGATATGATCAACTTTCTTCTTTCCTGTGCTCTCTGACTGATGTTTTTAGGTGCTACTGCAAGATAACTAACTATATATGTGTTTTTTAAAAGAAACACGAAGATTCTAGAATTCAAGACAGCTACCAAGGGGAAAAGACTAGTCATCTCAATCCAGCACACGCTTGAAATAAAATTAAATGGGTATGGGCAGCAATTGTAATTTAGGGTTTGTCTACTTTTAGTTTGAAGCAAGGTGAACCTACCTTGCATTAGCCTGCTGTATATTCAGTGTACTCTGTGGACTCTGAAGCTATGCATTGTTCACCTTGACCTAGTCCCATTTCAAAAGTGACCAGATCAAAGCAAAATAATTACTTGTTAATGTACAGTAGCAGGATTCACACAGACAGCAGCAAACTAGTGTGGAGAAGAATCACACTCCAGCTGCCTGCAAGTTTAATGTTTGTGCAGACTAAGGTATGTTAGTGTGTGTAATTACATAATTGTTTAACTGCTGAAAATTTCAGCAGTTACACGGGGTGAAGGGGTGGGGAAAGGGGCAGCAGCAGTCAGCCAGTGTGTGGGGGGAGCTGAATTCACCTTTTCTGGTTCATAAGAAGCTCCCTGTGAAGGTCCTGATGATTCCGGGATGATTTCACAGGATTGATTAGTTTCTGAGGTCTAATTAATTCAGGGTTGTCTTCATCTATGTAGTCTGGTTCAGCCATGATATTTTTTGGAATAAGATACGGATCTTTGAGTTCAGTGTCGTCACTTAAGTTATCTGTAAAACACAAAAATAAATTATATTAAAACAACATTTAAAGACCCTTTTCATGAAGAAATACAGAATTGGTGACTGCATTCATACAGCTAAAATAAGTTATGTTGGTAACATTTACAGACAGACAGACAGAATTTAACAGTAGGTAGAGATAAGGCTATAGAGCAATGCATCCTAGTTTCGTAAATTATGGGGGGAAAAAAATCAGAGTATTCTTGGTGGGAGCTGAGGAAATTGAGGAACAACTTCTTCCTCAAAATACTTCAGACTGTGGGTTTCAATAAACTAGATCTTCTTAGTTATTAAAACTTTACACTGAGGACAAAGTTCAGCAAAATAACTAAGCATATGCCTAAAGTCAAGCATTGAATTGTCTTGTTAACATTAATGAGGCTACTCCTATGCTTAAGTGTTTCACTTGATCAGGGCCCAAGAGTATAAAACTGCAAGATATAGCAGTCTGAAAATATAATTACTATATTAATTAGGTATATATGTGGAGTCCATTGGGACTTCATTTCCCAATACCAGTAACCCCATGTAATAATTGCAGTGGAAAATATGGTCTCTCGTAAGTAAGTCCAGTATTATAATGCAGGACTGCTACGCAGCAGAAGGATATGTTTGTAATAAATGTTTGTTATTTCTTAGAAAAAAAGGAAAACATTAATTTGGAAAATATTTCCCAAATTCAGAATGATAATTCACATCTTGATTACAGTTAGAATAACATGTCCAAACCTGACAACTTTAACAACCAAGGACCATATTTTAGCTGGTGTAAACTAGCACAGCTCTAGTCATTTGAAGTCAATGAAACTCCACTGGATTCACAAGGATCAGGCCCTTTGCATATTCTACAATAAATAAAAGCCATGATAAAAAAAAAAGTTTTTTATTGGTAGCTAATCTGCAAATTAGTTTTGAAATTGTTTGCAGTGTTTAATACCTAGTTACATTTAACAGCACACAGACCACCTACATCTGAAATTAAAAATCTTGGGCCAAATTCTGCCTTTATTTACCATCACCAAGCCCCACTGAGTAGAAACTGGCACTCTGCAACCAAGCACTCATAGGAAACAACCAACAATGCGGTTTTCAAAACACCCTCACAGCAGGCTGTGTTCCAGAGATAAACTGAGTTGACATTGCATAAAGAAATACAGACCTCGATCATCATGGTTGATGGAACAGCTGAACATTGTAGACCCTTTAATAGACAGCTTCCAAGAGAAACTGAGAAAGACCTCTCCGTTTATTTCCAGAGCAAAAGCTGAATTCCCTCTTTAACCAAATCTTCACGATGAGCTTTACTTTTGTTACTCAATGGAGCACAAAACCAGCAGTTTCACTCCAGTTAATAATTAGACCGGGTCTGTTTACTTACTTCTATATAAAAAGAGCTCAGAGCCTGGGCCCACATCTGTTCCACTAGCCCAATCCAAAGTTCTCTGAAGTCAATGGAAAGACTCCCAAATGCACTGGCTTTAATGAACTTCAGATCAGGTCCTTTTGTTATGCCAGTAACACTCCAACAGCAGGGAGATGAGTCTGGTATATTTGGAGAGCACAGACCCAGAGAAATGCCATAATTTTTTTCAATGGAGTGGATGGAATTACTTTGGATTTCTGTATCTTGAAAAGATCAAGCCACTTGGCTTCTCCATTTGAATAATTTATCTGAATCATACAGTTTCTTCCCCTACCCTTCACATGTGACCTGCTGACTTTGCTGGAAGTACTCCTGAGCATACCTGCCTGCTCTCTGCTGTGAGTAAAAGGTTCATTTTATGCATTAGCCCTTTAATCCTTCAAGGCAGGGACTTTGTTTCTGTATGCTTGTGCTCTGTGCCCAACTCAATAGACCCTCAATTCTTGTTTAGACTTTTGGTGCTAATGTAAATATTAGGTAACAATGTTGGTTGTAGTAACTCAAAACTTGGCTGTCACAGCGTTCATGTCATCTAAATCCTTTATCGATATCAACAAACACCCTCCCCTCAAAACCACAAAAAGTCCACCACTTTTTCCAGTTTTCTATTGCATCTATATTATTACAGGGTTATTAGCATTTTCTCATATGCTGCAAGTGCAACTAACAATTTATTGCATGTCTCTCACTATACTGTCAAGATGCCACATAAAATTAAAAAGTACATTTCTGGCTGAAAGGACCATATTGAGCTTTATGTGAGGGACCACTTTATTGCAGCCTTCTAATAAGCTCTGCTACACAGCTGTATACTCATTCGTTCTTAAGGGTTAGGACAATCCAAATTCTCTGTGTTAACACAAGGTTTGTCAATTCAAACAGAATCAAATATATACAGGTGGTGTTAATACATAATATTTTAGAAGCATTTATGATCATACAAACAAACTACCAACACTCTTATTGCTGCTTCACACCCAGATAACCCATGCAGAATTACCTACAGCAAGGAAAGCACAACTCAGAGATCATTTTACTACCATAAAAGCTTCTGGAAATAGAAAAGGAATCTATTTTTGGAAATGTTTGGTCAAGCATTTTGCAGAACATAAGTCTACTTTGGAAGGCATCAGAAAGGATCCAGCAGCGATTTCACAGGGTTTATTTTAAATATTGCTTGAACACTGTTCTCCTCATGCATGCTCTCTCTTTTCAAAAAAAGAAATATAAAGATTTATCCAATTGTAACATTTGACCCTTTGTGGAAGGAACTGAGGTCACCAGTGTAAAAAGAATGCCTTCAGATGATAGCTGCTTGCCTAGGAGCTGAAAATCTGGCCCCCCACTGTTACACTATAAATAAGGCCCTTCATTTTTGGGTTTGAATTTTGTTTAAAATTTCCCAGGAAGTTATCACTGTTTATGCCACATTTTGTAAAAAGGGTGAAAACTCAATAAATAATCACAAAGGGGAAGCAGCAAGACGGGGAGATGTTTGATAGGGATGTGAAAAGTTAACCGGCAAGCATCACACTTTACAGGTGATACTTACCAGTTCCAGTGAACTGGGGGGGGAGGAGAGGGGGGCTGGAGCAGCTCCCCGTCAGCTGTAGGCAAGGAACTGTTCCAACCCCAGGGCCTGCTGCAGACAGGAAGCAGCCCCTGTCCATGGCAGCCCTGGGTGGGGAGCGCAGGTAGGAGGGAGTGTCACCCCCCCACACTTAATTGGTCAACCAGTTAAACTTCACGTTGAACTGGCTGACCAATTTAAAGGGATTTTACATCCCTAGTGTCAGCTATTCATGGCATAGCCATTAAGGAAACCTTTTGCTTCCTGTGACCTGTCCCTATAGCCGTCAGGTGATCATAACTGCCAGACCTGGTTCCCTGCCCCTTTTGCTCCCTGCTGCTGCAACAAGGAGAAGAGAAAGATCCTGGCTCACCCAAAATTCAGGTAGAAGAAAAACAAAAAACCCCAGTAAAACCCAAACACTGAGTTTTTCAGAGCTCACAATGCTGGGGGGGGGGGGGGGGGGGGAAATATTAAAACCAAAGGGCTTTAGCTGTTAATTACTCCATCTGGGACTTCCAACTGGACATAAGGAAATGAGGACTCAACTCTCATTCAAGTCATTCCCTTTTGTGCCTTTGAAAAAT